TTTTGATTTAGTCATGTCTGCAAAATCTTGAAGAGAAGCTAGAAAAACTTAAACAAAAGCACAACAGAACAATTTTAGACATACTCGCCACACCAGAGGGCGAATCACTGAATTTCTTGGGTGAGCTAGATCGAGCTCGCCGAAGGAATTAGCTCTAAAACTACAGCAAGTAGGCGATGGGGGAACCACTCGGCATGTCGCCGGTAGCTTTCGGCAAACAAGGACAGGCCCACCGAAAGTTCCAGTGCATAAAGGTTCAGGGGTGCATACAAAGGGTGAAAGAAAAGCCTTTCGGCGAGTCGTCGAGTGCTTTTGGCGATATCAAGCTTCTCGCCGAAGGTTACAGAATGAATCATCAAATAAAGCATGAAATCAAGGGAGAGATGGGGACATTAGGAGAACCGCCGAGTGGTTCGGCGAGTTTGACCCAGCTCGCCAAACGGCTCAACGTGCCTATTTTCAACCCAACTTCTCAAATTTAACCCTGCAACGCCCGAAAACAAAATCAAAGCATACACTAGTACAATTAAGGTAGGACCAATAGCAACGAAACACAACCCTTTGGGTTTTAATCTAATTTAAGGCATACAATTACGAGAATTCAATAGTCATAACTACTCGAGCAATATTATCAAATTAAATAATGCATGTAAACAATCTAATCCTATCAAGCAGGATCAAAACACTTCAACAAGATCAGGCTGATGCAAATGAGTATAATTTTTTATAAAATAAACTCAGGGTATAGAAAACTAACCTTTGGTGATGATAAAGAGAAGATTGAAATGCTAGGCGGCAATGTAATCCAATTCCGAGCACAAATCAACACTAAAAATATTCTAAAAATGCGAAAATATGGGAACTAGCATGTGGATGTGAGTTTGGGAAGATAAAAAGTGAGGGAAAGTGAATGAGTTTGAAACTTTTAATCGTCTAGTTTTCACCCATTCGGCGATATTAGTCGAGCTCGCCTATCTTCTCGGTGATTCACCGAGTGTTCATTTACCTCGCCAAATTTTATAGAACCTCCAGTGAGTGTGGGGGTCCCAACGGCGGTCTCTGTTGAGATTACCGACCATGTCGGCGATTCGCTAATAATTTCCTAGGCTTGCTAAGTTTTACAGACTCCAATTTGAAAATGTCTTGAGTCCAATGGTGGATTAGGTCGGGTACGCCGACCTCTTCGGCGATGCGCTGACTGGGCATTGTCACTCACCAACCTACAATTTATAAACACTCTCCACTCTTTAACCTACACAAATAGCACACCATTATTTTAAAACTAAAATAAAGCCATAACGGGTCTTGGGTTGCATCCCAAGCAGCGCCTTAGCTAACTTCGTGGCACGACACAAGTTAACACTTAATCCTCTTCTTCGGAATCGGCCATGGTGTCATTAGGCGACTCCTCATTGATCTGTGAAAAGAGAGGTCCTATCAGTTGGTTTATCTGGGCGTCCTGTAGCTGATTAATCATGGAATTGGAAATTGTTGTCTGATTCAGCATTTCGATGTTCTCTTTTATCTCTTTCAACACCTTATCTTGTTCTTCGATCTTGTGTTGAATGAGTGAGAGGACTTCTTCATTTTACCCATTTTCCTGCTTCTTTCCCTTTTCACACTTGTGAAGGGGAAAGTGCTTGTCCCTTTTTGTGGACTACTCTTCCAATTCCGTGACTTTCTTGGTTAAGCAATTCAGCTGAATTAACATTGTAGCCAACTCTTGTTTTATCTTTGTTTCCTCGTTGGTCTTAACCATGCCGTCGAGGAGTTTGGCTACTATTTCATAGGGTTGTTATAGCAAGCAACCCTCGAAAAGTTGGTTAGCGGTACTTCTATTTTCGGGTCCAAGACCCCTATAGAAGCACTCAAGTAGCACTTTATCAGACATCCCATGATTTGGGCATGGGTGTAGCACTGCCTAGAATTTCAGCCACATCACTTGGATGGTTTCACCCCCTACTTTCTTGAATATCAGGAGATTGTCCCAAAGGTTAAACAATTCTAGAAGAGGTTGATCCATTTGATACCCATAGCTTTAATTCTCACTCATTTTTCCTGAAATAGTCACACAAACAAACAAAACAAAACTAAAAATTAAGTAAGTAAACTACAACTAACAAGAACAAAAATCCTACTTAACTACAAATTCTCAACTAACACCACTCTCCGGCAGCGGCGCCATTTTGACTTCATGTATGAGGACACTACTTCGGTTCAAGTGCCAACGATCGCGTGTAGTGATATAACCCAACCAAGGGTTGGGATCGTTCCCATAGGGAGTGGTTTCGAGAAATAATAGAAAAGTAAAATCAAGTTCTAATCAATCATAGTTGTAAATATTAACGAATAAAAACATACTAAATCTAAGGGGTGACGCAAGCATCAATTATCAATAGAGGTTTGTATTAACTAATTAACAAAAATGACTAAAATATAAGGAAATGAGATAGGGAGACGGGATTCTTGGGATGTGATAGGAATATGGGATAAAAGACATTATCAAGTAGATGTTATTGATAGTACATCGCTAAATATTTCTAACTAAGCTAGAAATTAGTGGGGTAAATTCTCTCTCGAACAACTTACCCCGAATCAACTCGATTTCTCTTAAACACCGAGTTGCTGCATTTAAGCACAGCCTCCGCCTTAGCCCATTCACTCTCTCGAGCTGAATGTGTGGGAGAAGGACTAGGATTCACTCTCTCGAGCTGAACCCATGTCAACCAAATACCACCAGCTATCAATTTAGTAGTCTTAGTTTTACGACATCTCTCTTTGTTTTAAAACCTCTTTCTCGAGCAAGCCAAAAACACTAAGATTAAATCGTATTTCCAACTACAATCCCATTCTGTTCAAACACAACTACTAAAAGAAATCACATTTAAACAGCAAATAGACTAACAATAAGCAATACCCAACAGGAAATTTAACCCATATTCACAAAATCACACTCCAAGAATTGGGGTTTTAGCTAGACATAGAAAAGGGGAAGAAAATGATACCGAATCGAGATGACATCAACTGGGTATGATTTATATTCACTTTAAACGAGTCTAGGATGAAGAATTTCCAACACCCACTTCCAATTTCTTGGAATTGGAAGTCTTCAAGCCTTCTCGCCTTAGCCCATTCACTCTCTCGAGCTAAAAGTATGGGAGAAGGCCTATGATTCAATCTCTCGAGCTGAACCCACGATGACCCAATAACCACCATCTATCGTGGAAGTCTTCAAGCCTTCTAGCTCAATGTCTCCAAAAAACTCTAAGAACTAAAACTGAAAATATTCTAAGTATCCAAAATAAAATTTCTCTCTAAAGTCTGATACTAAGCTAACAATTTAAACAAGTATTTATAGTGTTTGAAAATTTGTGCTGCGAAGGACCATTCGGCGCAGTTAGTCAGGATCGCCGACACACTCGGCGATCTGCCCTTTGTTCTGGTTCATCGCCTTTCTATTTTTTCCTTCAGCATTCTCGCGTTTTGAGGCATTGGGAGATAGAGTGCTGCTTCGCGGAACTGCTCGGCGACGCGCCGACTGCTCCTTTCATCGCAGACTTGACCTTTTCCTTCAGCGCTCAGCACACTAGATCATTCGGCGGGATTTAGGACCTTTCGGTGACTCGTCTAATAGTTTAGGTGATCCTCAGGAAGTCTTTTCTACGTTCTTTCAGTCGCTTTGTTCCTTTTTTCTTGGTAGCGTCCAAGCTTTGTCTCTCAATCCAAATACCTGAAACTTAAGAGTTTACATTAGTTATTGAGACAAAATATGCATTTGAGGACAGCAATTCTATTAAAATATAGCCCTAAATGAGTCCAAACTATGGACTCATCAATCCCCAATTCACCTTTTGGTTCAAGTTTGCTTCTTTTGACAGAAGGAACATGAGAATAGCATATCGAACCAAAAACTTTTAGATGCTTGGCAGATGGTTGTATTCCACTCCATGCTTCAATAGGAGTCTTTTCATCCACAACTTTTGTTGGTAGCCTATTTAACAAATACACTGAAGTATGAATAGCTTTGCCCAAAAGCTTTGTGGCAGTTTCTTTTCCAGCAACAAACATCTAGCCATTTCAACTATTGTTCTGTTCTTCCTCTTCGAGACTCCATTTTGTCGGGTGAATAACTTACTGTCAACTTGTGATCAATCCCCATATCTTCACAATACTTATTGAACTCATTTGAAGTGTATTCACCACCATTGTCCGACCTCAAAACCTTTAGCTTACAACCACTCTGTCTTTCTGCAAAAGCTCTAAATTTCTTGAAAATTGAAAATACTTGAGACTTGTTACTCAGAAAATACACCCAAGTCTTCCTTGTTAAGTCATCAGTAAAGAGCACAAAATATTTATTGTGCCCCAAAGATGATGTCTGCATAGGTCCACACACATCAGTATGAACTAGTTCAAGTTTTTTAGTTGCCCTCCAGGTAGCATTTTTAGGAAATGATTTCATGTGTACCTTACCCATCTGACATGACTCACAAACTTCTTTAGACAGTGAAATTTCAGGTAAATCCTTAGTCAAGCCCTTTTCATACATAGACTTTAAAGTAGCATAGTTAAAATGACCATATCTTTTGTGCCACAACCATGACTCATCCTTACGTGCAAAATTTGCACTATCAAACCTCCCATCTAAAGGAAAGGTTTTATCCACCATTTCTACTTTAACAATCAAACTATCTTCGGAATCAAAAATCAAACAATGTTTGTTCTTAAAAAATAAGGAATAACCTTTAGATATCATTTAAGCCACACTTAACAAGTTACATGCTAAAGAAGGAACATACAACACATCATGTATAAACTTTGTACCTTGTGTAGTCTGAAAGGAAAATGAACCCTTTCCATGTGCATCAACCATTTCACCATTTCCCATCTTAACTTTAGCTTTGAATGACTTGTCAAGTGTGTGAACAAGACCTCATTGTGTGACATATGACTCGTACATCCACTATCTATGAACCATGAGGATTTGTTGGCTGTGTTTTCTACATGAGAAGCCATAAACAAGATTTCTTCTTCATTTTTGGACTTTTCAACAAATTTTTCCTGCTGCACATGGTTTTGTTGTGGATGATTCTGCCTGGCCCTGCAATTTTTCTCAATATGACCCATCTTTCTACAAAATCTACACTAAATCGATGGCTTTCCTTTGAACCAACAGTCTTTTTCTTGATGATTGGTTCTTTTACAGTGGCTGCAAGGTGGAAACTTCCCTTTCTTTGAAGATTCCTTCCATGGTTTTCCCTTGCTCCTTTATCTCCTTCCATCCTTCTATTGTCCTTCATAGGCTGTCTGCCTTTATGTTGTGCCTGAAATGCCACTTCTTCTACTTCTTCATCTCTTATACTTGATCTTTGTTCTTGGGCTTGCAACTTGCTGATCAGTTCCGCCACAGATAAAGTCTTCAAATCACAAGATTCTTCTATTGCTGAAATCTTGGACTCGAACCTTGCTGGTAAGCTTATCATCATCTTCTCCACCACCTTTGAATCTAAAAAGGTTTCACCAAACAACCTTACTTTGTTAACAATCTCGACAAGTTTGGCAGAATACTCTTTCACAATATCTCCTTCTTTCATCCTTAATATCTCAAATTCTCTTTTGAGAGTTAAGAGTTTGATAGTCTTCACTCTGTCACTTCCATCGAACTCCTTTTTTAGCTTCTCCCATACTTCTTTAGGTGTTTCACAAGCCATTATTCTTGTGAAAATCACATCTGAAAGTGTTGAATGAAGACATGTGAGAGCCTTGGGTTTCCTTGACTTCGCATCTTCATAAATCTTCATTTGTGCAACTGTTGGATTTGGTCCAAGTGGAAGAGGATCATCTTCACTTTCAATTATTTCCCATAGACTAAGAGCTTTGAGATAAGCCTTCATCTTTATCACCCATATGTGATAATTTTCTCCTGTAAACATAGGATTGCCTGCACCCAAGAAGTTGTTGGATGCCATGTTACTGCTGCTCAGCTCTCACCTTAGAAGGAGAAAAAACCTTAACCTTCTTGCCTTCACATATCCCTCAAGAAGAAGGGCTCTTGATACCACTGTTAGTATTAGAAACTGGAAAGAAGAAAGGACTTAGTTCAACAACAGTTCTTTTCATTCATTATACAGATTTCAAAAGGCATACACACATATATCTACATAAGCTTTTCCAAAGTAAGTAGAGGACCATACATATCCAACCACTATTGACTTTCTTACAAAATATATTTCATAAAACAAGGACTACCTTTCCTTTACATACTAAACATAATATTTAAAAAGAACCATTAAACAAAACCATCTAGAAATATCTCATTTTCTAACAAATTGATCTAATTAACACATGAGAATGACGCTAAAGAATCCACATGAGTCATCAAATATTATATTAGTCACTTTACTTAATTTTTTGTTGTCTCTTGTGATAATTTGAACTCTAAAACTTCCTGCATGTTAACAAGTATTCTCTAGAAATCAACTTGCAAATTTACAAGTATTACGTATTTCTTTCTCGATATTAGCTAAGTCTTTTTCAAAATTTATGGCTATTGAAATTTCTTTTAGTTCATTAAAGGGTTGATCTTATTTAGATAAAAAGAGAATAAAATTTATCTTTTCATTTTCATTTTGTTGGAAATATTTGTTATTACTCAATAGTCCAGTTTTATCATATTGATAGATTCTTTTGGACTTTCATATTCTTTATTAAGAAAAGTCTAAGCTATTGGTATTTCAACATTTCATATCCTTATTTATGATTAAAACATGACTAAGCCTAAGAAAATTTGTTTAATGATCAATAGTCTTGTTGAGCTTTGTTTAATGACAAGAAACAGGAAAAAGTCAATAACATCCTTGAGAGAAAATAGTGTTATTTTTAAAATGAGTAATATAATTTTATTTTAAAAAAATCAGATTACATTAGTGCAAACATTTTTACAATCGTCTAAATTAAGACTTTCACATTTTCCTTGGAGATATCATTTTTATTCCGAGAACGGAAAACGTTCCTCTATCTTAATTATGTATGCAATTCTTAGATATATCAGATTAGCTTATTTTAAAAAAATTGAATAATTTACACTAAAGGTATTGGTTCATCCAACTACGTTGAGAATGATTCATGTAGAAAAGACATGTACATAAGTCTTAAGAAATAAAATCAATACTTATGACAAACATTATCATATCTCTTGGCCGATTTTGGGAAACTCGCAATGTGTGAGAGCACGACATATGGCTTACCCACTTGTCATTGGTTTGACACTGGGCAACATGTTTCTCACTTTATACCGTTCATGTTCAGGCTTAAGAAGTATGGTGATTATATGCAACGGAATTTGATAAGAATGATTATCGTTCTATTATTGGGAGCTCAAGGTAGCAATATCTTGGGAAGGGGCTCAAGTTGTTATAGCAGCGGGGATGACTCAAAAATAGCCTGGGAAGGGGCTTCTCACAATTGGCTGCTCGACATGTTGGCACACTTCATCCTAGCTATGGAATCAGGCAATTCAAAGATGGACCCAGTGTATGACACAATGTCCAATGAAGCTTGCAAGGTATTCAATGCTACGTCAACATTGTTACTCGTTGGGGTGCTCGTTGAAACACCCAAAGAAAAGGGAATTGTTCAGAAATTCCACTTTAAGGACAAACCGCCTGTTTACTGATTTCTTTTGGTGGTCCAGAATCTATAGTGTCGGCTCCATGTTTCACACGTGTCCTACCAATGAGGCATTTTGATGCCAACTCTTTTTATAGTATCTTGTCTAGACAGATTAGAGGGATTTGACGACATGTATGTTGATATAATTTTCATGAAGCCTGCAATACTTGAGGATCTTTATAGTTTTGCTTCTCATCCCTTTCTTCTACTTGTGTTCTTCAATTTCCATTTTAGTTCTTAAATTCCTTTGTGATTCCAATTACGAGTTAGTGAAATAGATTTGTCGGTTGTTTGAATTTGAATTGTGTTGGTCTTGTTATTGGGTTTGTTACAGATGCACTATCTTCTATGGCAGGAAAAACAAAGCTCACTTTGACAAATTGTTGAAGAAAGTTGGAAAAAGACTACAAACATGGGAGAATAAGTTATTATATTTGGTGGTTGATATATTGTCATTCAGAATGTCCTTCAATCTATGCCAGTAAATCTATTGTCTGCTACTAATCCTCCGGCTTGTGTTATTAATACTACAATTTTTTTGCTATGTTTTTTTGGGGTAATACTACAGGTTCTAAGAATATACACTGGGTGGCTTGGGACACTCCGTGTCTAACAAAGGAGGAGGGATGCGTGGGTTTCAGATCTCTACATGAGGTCTCCGAGGCTTTATTTGTCAAATTATGGTGGAACTTTAGGACCGCTACAAATAGTCTATGGAGTACTTTTATGTGGAAAAAGTATTGTAACAACTTACTTTTAGAACAACTTATTTCAAATGACTTTTCAGAAAAGTGTTTTTGAAAAAGATAAATTGTGTTTGACTAATTCATTTGAAAAGTGTTTTTCATAAGCAAATTACGTTTGACTGATCTTTTTAAAAAAATGCTTTTGAGAATCAAATTACAGAAAAAAGACAACTATTAATATACTTGTAATATAAAATTATTTTATAGAGAGAAACTATTTTAAATATCTATTATAAAAAAATAATTAAATTTTTATTTTTATTAAATTAAAATGTATATGTTTTAAATTTTCAATAAATATTAAACTTTTATTGGGAGGCTGAAATCTTTAATTATTATTTTTTTTCTTTTTTGTAATCTTGTAAAAATATTGTTGGTATATTTTTCTAATTCTGCAAAATAATACGTAAAATATTATATAATATATAAAATAATAATATATAAACGTAAAATAAATTATAAAATTTGCTTAAAAATTTAAGGAGTATGGAGAAGACGAAAAGAATAATCATCATAGAGTTTATAAGTCATTTTTTTACAAGACGATAAGCAATTGATCTTGAAAAAAAAACAATTAGTCACGTGGGCAATGGTAGTGATTCTCTGGCAGCCTCTTTGTACGTACCGAGTAATGATAAACTTGTCAATATTCACGGGAACTCGATAACTCAGTCTGTATTTGAAAGTGAGAAAGCCATGGCATCTCATGGAAGTGCTCATAAGAGAAATGGAGAGGCAGGAATTGCTACTAACTACATTAGTCATGTTTGAGTAAATCTTTTAAAATTGACTAGTCATTTTCTCTATGCCTCTATATTTCACACTTAGAATGTCATAATCTATACTTCAATGACTAGCATGGATGATCTTTTTAGAGGCTTGATGATCTTTATTCATCCAATATTAATGCACATTTTAATTATTAAACTAATATCTTTGAGTTGTTAAATTACATACAAATAAAATTTATATTTTATCTGAAATACAATTATGATTTTTTTTTTTTGTTTTCTTACTAACGTATTTTTAGCTCCTACATTAACTGTGAAAAATAAAAGAATATCTTGATCGTAATGGAAAATGTTAGAATTAAGAAAATGGATTTCTTTTGACATACTTAGTAAAGAATACTGGAAAGGAAGAGAATTTCAGTGGGAACAAGTCACCTTCTTCCATGGTAGTATCTCTTCAGGTTGATCCAAGAGGGACAGGTGATGCTGATGGTGATGGCATTGTTAGTATTCGAAACTTTAGAGAAAAAGATAAGGTTCAGCAGAATCTTTTGTCATTCATATGACATATTACAAAAGGCATACACACATATCGAACCACTAGTCTATGTTCTTACAAGACATATTCCATAAAATAAGGACTACCTTTCCTTTACAAACTAAACATAATATTTAAAAAGAACCACTAAACAAAAGAGTATCTAGAAATATTTCATTTTCTAACACTCCTCCTTGAGATTTTTCTTGGATACTCCCAACGTAGCCCTTAGAACTTCAAAATTTTCCTAGGAAGAGTTTTGGTCATTATGTTTGGAAACTATTGATCTAAGTTGCAATGAACAAGTGTAACTTCCCCATCCTTCCCTGCTTGCCTGATAGCATGAAACTTCACTTTTATATTGCTGAGTTGTTGTCAACCTTAATGACAATAGATTCAATAAGATTTTTCTTCAGATCACTCAGAAACTTTCTTATCCATAGAACTTGATTAGTTGCACCAGCAACGGCAATGTATTCTGCTTTTGCAGAAGATTGAGCAACCAATTCTTTCTTCTTTGAATTCCATTAGAACATGCCTAAACCGAGTGTAAACGCATATCCAGATTTGATTTTCATATCATCAACGCTTCCTGCCCAATCACTATATGAATAACCCATCAATTTCCCTTGTTGTTCCTTTTTAAACCAAATACCATAATCAGCAGTTCCTGTGATATATCTCAACGTTGTTTAGTAACACCAAAATGATTTTGAATTGGATCTAGCATAAACCTCAATAGAAGTCTTGCCGCGATCATGAGATCAGGTCTTGTTACTATCAAATACGGCAAACTACCAACTAGACTTCTATAAATTGTTGGATCAGCCCTACACTCCTTTGTGGAGACTTGGGATCTCAGCAGGAAATGCGAAGGTTGCAACAAGCCGGCCGGCCAAAGAGAATCAACTAGTTTAGTTCTGATCTGAGTAGGCTCATAATTAGGGAATACCCTAACCCTGGGAACCGGGGCCTGGCCATCCTTCGTTTGCGGTCGACGTTCCGGCTTTGTCCGTCGACAGCTGAATGTTTCGATCTGGTTCGATTCATGATCGCATCTGCAAACCTTATCCCGTGGGCTTTAGCGGACGTTTTTCATTCTTCACCCGGTCCTTAGTAGCCTTTCCAAAGTCAACCTAACCGCTTACCTTTGGAAAGGCGCTAAATAGGCCTTCGCCCTTACGCCTTTATATATAATAGAAGAAAATTAGATAGTTGTATATAGAATTAGCCAGATCGTCTGAAGCATGAACAGAATCGCCTTTGTTCTGAAGGCCTAGCGA